CCAGGACTCCAGAAGCTGAAACACCGCGGTGAAAGCAGGGTCCTTTTTTTGAACTTCCAAGGCCAGCAGGGTCGTGAGACATCGCCCCGCCAAGCCTTGAGTTAAGCTGCTGGCTAAGGCCCGTCGCCATTTCTGGAGGACCGAGGGCGCGACCCCAAAAACCTTCCAGGCGTAGGACGCCTGCGGCAAAGCCCCAGTGAGGACCAAACGCGCCCCGATCTTCCGAGGGGCCACAGCAGCTAACTTATGGATACGACACGCCCTACGAGTGGCTTGCCTGATACGCTTCGAGTGGCGGGGCTTGGCGACAGAAACGCCACTGCCCCTTTCAATGCCCAGATCCGCCGCAACCGAGGCCACATCGACCTGGATGCCTTTCAATCCCAGGCCAGCTTGGATAGCCCGCGCCACCGAAAGCTCAGACGCCACAATAATCGACTTGCTGGCAATCCTCAGCTGCTCCTGTTCGCAGCCCGAGGCAAAAACAGCCCCAGCTTGGATTAATTCCCGAATGACATCTCGCTTAAGACCTTCCGCACGCTGGGTGACATCATCGATCCACGTACGGAGGGAAACAAGAGCACTGCTGGCACACGCACGTTCACAAATCTCGAACATTTGGCATTTTGAGAAATCGGGGGCCCTGCGAGCTCCAGCCACAAGCCCTCCGCGCGGAATGATAGGCGGAGCAAAAAACCCCCCATCCCTCAAAAGCCGAGGCCCCATGTGAAGGATACCCTCCAAGGCCAGGGGGTGCGGAGGAAAATCAAGATCAATCGCATGGTCGACCACGCGATCCCATCGAATAGTGTCATAGAACGCCTCCACATCCCACAAAACAGAGGCAGAGCAATACTCAGGCAAGACTGAGGCAAGTGCAGCCTCGTCGGCATAACACCTGAGCAGAGCCTCTCGTAGAGCGCTGTTGCCTCGAACTGCGGCGTCCCAAGGGCCAGAGCGAGCCGCAGCCCACACTTCCGCAGGGCGAGACCGCATGCGGCTCCACAAACGACCCAACCAGGTGAGCAAGCCTATGGCGCGATCCTTGCGCACATCAGGTTTGCGAAGCAGAACAACGATAGCGGTGAGCCACTGCCAAGGCCAAGCAACCTTGGCCTCGATCAAATGAAACAAATCGAGCAGCGCACGGCGGCCAGACTCAGGCAGCCACCAGACGTCCCGCTGGCCGACCGACTCGATGCCGCGCGCCTTCCGAGGCGGCACAGCGCGGAGCGCCTCCTCCAGCTGGACCAGGGTGAGGGGCTCCATCTCGTCCTGAAGCGCCAGCCGCCGAGCCCGCTGCAGCGCGCGGAGCGCCTGGTCGTCGACGACGTTGGATGGCGTCCATATCGCACTCCAGAGCGCCGCCTTGGCCTCCATCACAGAGGCCGCATTAAAAGACGTATCGCCGTGCACTCTGACCTCGCTGACCTCGGCCGTGGGGTCACGCACAAACCGATGCAGAGCGCCGCATCCCAGAACAGCCTGCTGATGGACCCAGTCACGAAAAGCGTGGTGACGCTGCCGAGCGACAGCGCGCAGGGCCTGGTCCGAGGCCCTGCGCGCCCCAGCAGCGAAGGCCGCCAAAGACTCCGAGGTCGCCCCATCCAGAGTTCGTAGACCGCGAAGCCATCGATCACGACGACGGGCAGGCAAGGGAACGATCTGCGTGGACGGGATGGAGCCAGCCAGCTGCGAGAGCTGGTCGCGAAGATGCCGAGCCCGAGAGAGATTGCGCTTATCCCCCTTCTGGCCCACCAACTCCTCCAACAGGTTAGCCACCGAGGCCCGCCAGCGAGCACTAGGATCAGCGGCAGTGGGGTAAGGCTTACTTCCAGCATAGACTCCCAACTGAGGGCCCCGCAAGGAGTCACGACCACGGTACTGCCTCCTCGCCAAGGGGTCCACCTTATACAATTCTAGATAATACAACTCCATGGTTGAGACCCAAGACGCGAAAACATCCCCGAGGTCATAAGCTTCCTCCTCGGCCGCCTGAAACG